TGGGGTGTCTCTCTAACCATCCTCCTGACTCCCTCTTCATTGGTTTTTTTTTTCCTGCCACCTGGTTGCTGATACCACCTCTTAACCTATAGCTGACTTTATTTAATCCTGTTTCCAATATTCAGGCAAAAAGCTCTTGGATTAAAGGTGTGCACTAAGACTGAGACATACCACAACTAAAAAGAGGTTTTTCCAGTAAATAATGCAATCTTGGGTTCACTGTGTAATCAAATATCCTGAAACATCATAGGTAATCAACTTATAAAGACTAAATGTTTAACATAATTTGCAATCTATAGCAATGTGTTAGTCTGGGAGGAGGAGGAGGAGTGCATAGAAGTCCAGGAAGATCACTTGTCCTTGCTGTCTAGCTGAGCAGTGAGTTTCAGTTCAGTGAGAGACCTACCTTGTCTCACAAAATAAGAAAGACAGCAATTGAGTGACACCTAAAGACAGCCTCTAACCTTCATTCATACATACACACACACACACACACACACACACACACACACACACACACATATGGCCAAGATCCCATCAACCTTTCAAGCGAATGCCACTGGTGACCCAAAAACCTCTCATTAGATCCAAATTCTTTTTTTTTTTTTTTTTTTTTTTTTTTTTTTTTTTTTGGTTTTTCGAGACAGGGTTTCTCTATGTAGCTTTGGAGGTTGTCCTGGCACTTGCTCTGGAGACCAGGCTGGCCTCGAACTCACAGAGATCTGCCTGCCTCTGCCTCCGGAGTGCTGGGATTAAAGGCTTGCACCAACAAAAGCCCGGCTAGATCCCAATTCTTAAATTAAATTCTCAGCAGCATGGCTCTGGGGCTCAAGCCTTTACTCTGGAGGGCACATTATTCAAACCCCAGCACTGTTTCTGCACAGGTATTTTTGCATGGCAGAAACTTGATAACATATGTTAAGGAAGCTGCCTGCCATTGTGTGGGTGTAGTTATCCTCATAGTCAAAGGCACGAATAGAGTAAGACTGGGCCTCCTTTAACTCAGACTGCTTCAGTTTCACCTGCAACACTGGCTCTCCTAGGTCAAACAACCTAGCTTCCAGTGTCTGGGACATAATTGCAGGGAAAGACCGGTCTTCAGAAACCAACCAAGGATCATATATTCTTGACGTTTAAATTACCTCAAAATGGTAAAGAGGAAGAGAGCAGACATTGACTGAACATCAGTGTGAATTATGTACTGTCTATTCTGGGCACATCTACAATTCTACTTGATGTACAACAATTAATTCTATACAGGAGGCACCGTGAACACATGTGTGACATTCCCCTAACAGGGCCCAGGTCAGATTAGGAGGTTGGTGGTGCTTTGATAAGGAACTGGAAGACTCTAACCTGACTCATCAGAAATGTGCAAGCCGACATGGTGCTAGAGCACAAACTGAGAATCTTTACATCTTCATCAGGAGGCAGTAGGAAGTGAACTGAAATACTGGGCGTAGCTTGTGCATGTAAGAGGCCTCAAAGCCCACATCCACAGTGACCCACTCCCTCCAACAAGGCCACACCTAATCCAATAAAGCCACATCTCCCAATTGTGCAATTCCTTTTGGAGGCCATTTTCTTTCAAACCACCCCACAATACCAACCCAGTGGAGTGTCCCTCACAGATTCATGCCTTTAGTGCTTGCTTAGTCCCCAGCTGGTGAAGCCATTGTAAGAGGATGAGGCGTGCCTGTGAAGGTTATTGGTGGTTCCCAATCCCCTCCTCACTCTTTGCTTTGAGACCCCCCTGAGATGGAGAAACTCCTCTGCCTCACACTCCCACTGCCACAATGCTTTGCCTAAATGCCTGGAGCCAGACAACCATGGACTGGAGCCTCTGAAACCAAGAGATGAAATCTTTCCTCCCTCTAGCTGCCTTATCTGGTATTTTGTCACAGTGGTACAAAGATCAGGAGCCTGCATGATTGCTCCTGACAGGGACCAGAGGTCAGTGCGGAACTGCTCACAGCAAGAGATGGGACATGCATGGGTGTGTGTAGACTTTCTGATGCCTTTCCTTCTGCCTGTGAAATCGCCCGATACTGCACCTGGATGACCTTTTAAAGCCCCAACCACTCGCATAAGCCCCCACTTCTATGCACCCTAATCAGCCCAAGTTTCCACTTGTAACACCTCACCCTGGGGTTTCCATTTCAACATATGAACCCTTAGAGGATATTCAAGCGTCCATAGTAACCCCTGAACTCCCAGATCCAAAACAAGGGAAAGAGTCACTACAAACACAAACCAGCCAGTAGAGAGCATCCAGACTGTACATAAATCCAGGTTAGTCGCAATTGAAAATAGTCCAAAAAGAAACAGACCACCTGTAGTGCCTCACCACAAGGCAGTGCAGTCCTGAAAAGGTCTACAGAAAACATTGCTAAGTGAAGGGCAAAGCGCAGGGCAAAATGTGCTGTAATTGTGTATTTTAAAAAACTATATGTGTGTATAAAGTCTATGAGGTTATAACCCACAATGATTGATATACCTAGGAAGAGAAACCTGCCTTCTATAAGAAATGCCTTATAGGACCAAATGTGCAACGTCTGGATGGTGCTGTGTGTGTGATTTGTTTTTTTAGTTATTTTTATTTTATATATGCTAGTGCCTGAGGGTGTTGGATGCCTGGAACTGGAGTTATAGATGGTTGTGAGCTGCCCTGTGAGTGCTGGAAACCAAACTTACATCCTCTGCAGGAGCAGCAAGCACTCTTTAACTATTAAACCAGCACCATGTGTGTTCTTTTATTTTTTCCCCTTTTGGTGAGAATGTCATGTGTTCACAATGAAATTGGATTCTATCTCCCTCCCCCATTTCCTCCTTCAACTTCCTCATATTTCCTCCAAAGCTTTCACTCCCAGTTTCTTTTAACTGCCTGTGTGTACTGCCCATATGTGAGTGGGTGTGGTGCCATCCACTGCTGCAGCATGGGAACCCCACCAGTGGCCACATATGTATAAAAGGAATGATTGATTCTCCCTTTCCCAGCAACTGACAACTGCCAAGAGCTTCTCCATAAGGGGTGTGGCCTGGAGACTGGAGACAAGCCACTTCAGAGGCTGTAGCCATTTGTATTAGTTAGGGTTCTCTAGAGTCACAGGACTTATGTGATGAATCTCTCTCTCTCTCTCTCTCTCTCTCTCTCTCTCTCTCTCTCTGGGAATTAATTGGAATGACTTTTACAGGCTGCAGTCCAACAGTGGCTGGCTGTGAATGGAAAGTCCAAGAATATAGTAGTTGCTCAGTCCTTCAAGGCTGGGTGTCTCAGCTGGTCTTCTGTATATGCTGGAATTCTGAAGTAGGTTCTGACGATTGTGAAGGAATGGGTGTGCTGGCAAGGCAAGGGCAAGCTGGCAAAGAGTAAAAGCTTCCTTCTTTATATAGTCTTCCAGCAGAAGGTGTGGCCAAGATTAGAGTTGTGTCTTTTGGCCTCAAGGTCTGTATTAAATGCCTGTGTTTTCCAGCCTCAAGATCTGGGTAACAGGTATGCTCTCCATTTTTGGATTGTACTTTGTTGCAGATATAGTCAAGTTGGTGACCAATAATAGCCACCACACCTTTGCTCAGCTTCAAAGGGTGGTGGACAGCCACATGGCAGAAAAAAACAGTAAGAAAAAGAATTCATAAAAGATTTGTGGTGTAGAGTTGGGACTGTTTGTTGATTGAATCTGATGGTGAGGTAAAGGGAACATTCAGGTTGAGCAATGGTTTTCTAAATCACAGAGATTTTGACAATTTATTCACATTCTACTATCTAATTCTTTTCAATATTTGTAATCTGACCAAGGGACTTGGTTTGTAGTTACTTTCTGTACATATTCTTCACAAATAGATTGGTTTTTGAAACTAGCATCTATTATAGTCTAATGTTTGAATTTTTTTTGTTGGTTTTGGTTTTTTTGAGACAGGGTTTCTCTGTGTAGCCCTAGCTATCCTGGACTCACCCTCTAGACAAGGATGGCCTGGAACACATGAATCTGCCGCCTCTGTCTCCCAAGTGCTGGAGTTAAAGGAATGTGCGACCCACCACACCAAGCTAATGTTTGAATATTGGAAATTCAGTATCCACATCTTTTTACCATATACAAGCAGGGATGGTGGCACACTTATGTTATCCCAGGACTTTGAGGCAGGAGTGAAGGGACCAGCTCCCCGAAATTCAAGGCCAGCTTCGGATTCATAATGAAAGCAGGAAGCAGCCAGGACTCACACAAGATTCCTCTCGATTTCTCCCCTCCCCCCCTCCCCTCTTTTCTCTCCCCCCTCCAGAGCACGAGCATATCATGAAACTCACAGAGGTCAAAGGATAACTTTTCAGAGTTGGTACTCTTTTTTTCCCCCGTGGGTTCCAGGGACTGAACTCAGGCTTAGATGGCAAGCACATTTATCCCTTAACTATGGCCCCACCACCTTAATTTTTTGAGACAGGTCTCTCGATGAATTAGGAATTCCCTGATTAAGCTAGGCTGGGTCTCCAGCCAACTCCAGCAATCCATCAGTCTGCACCTTCCCAGTGCTGAGATTACAGACACACGCTCTACCCTGTGCAGCTTGTTTCCCTGGCCCTCTCAGTTGCGTGGTTTCTGGGGATCGAACTCAGTGCCCCAGATTTCCCAACAAGCTAAGCCATCTCCCCAGAACCCCTCTCTTTTTTTAATCGCATTTGAATGTTTTCCTATATTGCGGCCCTCCTGGATGAGAAGGAAATGCAGTTTGTGGGTTCTCAAATATCTGGTGCTTCCAACGTTTCTCTCTGTATCTTCTCATTTCTGGTAAATATATGAACTTTGTGGGGCAGAGAAGCAATTGCCATGGCATTTTCCCATCAGCGGGGACCAGAAGCATTCCGGCATATCCTTTAGTCCTTCTTGTTGCTTTTCGCACCGCCGAGCGGTAGGGGGCGATAGACCCCGGTA